GCCTTGCCAGGTGAAGCAGGGAACTGCTAAGGCAGCTGCACCCCCCAGTCTATCAGAAAGCAAGAGACCCGAGAACCAGAAAGGCGAGGCTCACCAAGCCATTTATCTCTCAGCCCTTCAATTACTCCCACATGTGCTTATCGGCCAGGTTGGCACAATAAACCTTACCGTTCACATTGAGTTTATTTTTTGTGTTGTAGTAAGGTATTGACCCTGCTTCATTCTTCTGAAAATGGGTAATCCAATTTTGTCAGCACCTTTTGTTGAGGAGAATGTCTTTCCCCAATTTAATGTATTTGGGTTCTTTGCCAAAAGTTGTCTGTAGGTGGATGGGTTTATTTCTGGGTTCTCTATTCTGTCCCACTGATCTAGCTGTCATTGTACCAGCACCAGGCTGTTTTGAGGACGGTGGCTGTGTAGTAGGTTAGAGACTGAGAAGTGTGAGGTCGCCTATTTTTCTTCTTAAGTGTGCTGCTTATCTGGAGTTTTGCCTTTCCATTAAAGAAGAGTTCTGGCGTCTGCATCTGAATTCCAGGATGTTTATAGGTCATTGGGGTACTGCACTTTTTCACAAGGTTATAGTCTTTCATTTATGCAGGCTCTCTTGGTTCCTTGTAGTGGTGGTTTATGGTTTTCTTTGTATAAGTCTTTTGTTTCTGTGCTTAGTGGGCGATGTGTTGGGTGCTAACCACAAGATTGGCAGTTTTCTGGTTGTCTTTTTCCCCAAAACTGCTCCGTATTCTTTCCTTGAGTGTGATTTGGGAAAGGTTATGCGATGTTGTGAGTTTCTTGTTGGGTCGTTGTCTTTGGGGTTCTTTCAGCTTCTCGTGTGGGTGACTGTCTCCTCTTTCTTGTTATGTCCCAATTCGGAATTCCTCTTGATAGCGCCTCAATACTGACACTTTTTCCTTCCTTCTGGAAGTTCTCCTTGTATTTGTTTTAAATCTTTCTAGTGTGTCAGGCTTGGGTTTTTATCTTTTATTTCCTAGTCTCATTCCCGCCCCCGCCTTTTGGGGACATCTAGTATCTGGATGTTGCCACTTCCATCTCCATCCTCTATACTCTTAGGCATTCAGAACAGGAGGGGTTATAGGTAGAGCATTGTGCTTGGTTCCCCTACCCACCCCTTACCCTCCTGGTATTGCTACTCTCACTGTTGGTCCTGAGGGGTTTATCTGTCCTGGGTTCTGTTTCCAGCTCTGATCTGTACATCCTCTGGTCTAGCTACATTTGTAAGGTAGAATTGGGATCATGGGGGGTAGGGGTGTGTGTGAAGCATCAAAGAACTAGACGAAAGTTGTATGTGTTGTTGGTGCTATACTGTACCCTGACTGGTGTGTCTGTTTCTTCCTGTGACCCTTCTGTGAGGGGATGTCCAATTGTCTACAGATGGGCTTTGGGTCTCCACTCCATGTCCCCCTCTTTCACATTGATATGATTGACATGGGTCTTTGATGCCTGATGGCATCGACACCTCGTGATCACACAGGCTGGTGTGCTTCTTCCATGTGGACTTTGTTGCTTTTAAGACCCCAGATGCTCTATCTCTCGATAGCCGGGCACTATCAGCTTTCTCCACCACATTTGCTTATGCACC